ATTTTCCCCTTTTACAGACAAGTAGCGAACAGTCATTATTCTATTCCTTTAGAACAGGCATGATATGCTGCTTCATTGAGAAATTAAAAAAGAATAAACTCAGTATGGTTTTAGCGAGTTCCAGCCACTGGTTGGCATCATCAGCCGTTTAGCTGCTAAAACCAACTTTACCTCAGAGCCTAGTATTTTCAAAATTCCCATGCTTTTGTTTCAGCTCGGTGGCAAGCAGGTGGCCTCATACACGGCTGCCTACGCGATATTCACGGCCTGGTCTATATTCCCCGCAGCAAGGCCAGTGACCTGGTTGACGGTGGCCTGCGTCAAGTCGACCGTCTCTTGGCCGTAGGCGATGATGCACGCCTAAACCTCCTCGCTTGCTCTTCCACCTCAGACCTTGGCGTGAATGCACCCGTGCGGGCCCAGAAGACCCCGGCCGCTCAAGTTGGTCAGCCACGTGGGGAGAAGTCTCCCCGTATTGCCAGCGTCGCCGCTCTACCTCTTTGGCCGCTCAGTGTGGCACCATGCCTGCCGGTGGCCATGCAGTTTGCTAAGGAGACCTTTCTAGCAAATAGTGGCGGCGGCCCCCCACCACGACTCTGTCTTCTGCAATACGCCGACCATATGAGTCTTTTCCACTTCCCGCGAAAGCCGCAAACGTTTTTCAAAAAGTTAGACGAAGTCAGTGACGCGAAGAACCGAAATATTATTTGTCTGGCAGAAATTCGACCACGTCGTGGACAACAGGTTCTCACCTGTGCCATATCTCCATGTGGGCGCTTCATTGCCTACTCTGACACGATTCGCTCGCGTGTACTCAAAGTTGCTCATCCGGTTAGTATTTTAAAATGTGCACGTTATGGCCACACATCGTATTTGCTGTAACGAGCGCTCTTGGCCGGTATACTACTTAAATATGAAACTTCTTAATCCAGTAGGCAATAAATCTAGAAGTCTGAGCATTTAATCCACAATGCGAATCTATGTAAGCTGTGAGGATTGATTTGCATTTTGTGCTAGGTGGCCGGTCAAGTAAGGGAGTCTGCCTTATCTCTGGATGAGTTCAACCTAAAATTTCAGTTTAATATGCGTTTTTCATAGACGGATCAGTAATTTCGGACATTATCGTGACTTGTTGACAACTAATCATCTCCTGGAGTTGAACATTATTTTTATAGTGAACGGAAATGCTGCTTTAAATGCATGGAGTTTGTATAATGGCCATTTAAATTTAACACAGAGCGATATCCCAAAATGATGCTGGCCATTTCCGAACCTTCTGCCTAATTTTCGTACGCTTTGTACAGTTACATGGGAACATGTTTTAAGCTTGGCTGGATTTATCTATTTTTCGGTCGCTGTGCTTCAAACTACCCCTCTTTAGAAACCTATTTCTGTATCTTTTTCCACTTTCTCATGTACGCAGAATTCGTGGCGTTTCGACCGAAACTGTCCCTCCCAGGTAGTAACCATTTCACGTCTGGGGTGGGTCCACACGGAAAGCGAGCGGAAGCGACGCCGAAGATCAGTTAGC